AGAGCTGTTCTCCTCTCTGCTCTCCTCCTCTCAGGTGGCTCTGATACGGGAGCAGAAAGTCGCCGTGGTCATCATCTGCTCTCTTTTTGGCTTTTTCGGGTTCTCCATTTACCCCGTGGCCCTGGAGCTAGCTGTGGAGTGCTCGTATCCCGTTGGAGAAGCTACAGTAGCCGGACTCATCTTCATAATGGGGTACTACTCTCTGAGCGCAACATACAGCACACACAGTATACAGTACGGCACATTGTTATGACAGAGACTGAACAGGCAGGAGCTGGATTAAGATAAAAACACATTTGAACCCAGATGTTATCCCCACATGTTGGTGTTTCTGCTGAAAGGAAACAGTTTACAGCAGTTTGAATTGAAATGATGCTCTGTCTTTCAGCCAGCACAGCTCAGAATATGTTTAACGTAACAGAAAGTTAAACAAGTAATAAGAAAATGCAAATGAGCTGTTGATTTCTCTCTCTGAAATTCATGTTAGTCTGACTGTTTCCTTGTGATCTGTCTCAGACAGGTCCAGTCCGTTCTCCTCATGATAGTCTTTCAGGCTTTAACCAAACGGATCGCAGACTCTCCTCTGTCCACCTGCGGGAGTGCAGTCCTGAGCTGGAAGGGTAGGTCACACAATGTTAGACCACCGTGAGCGTCTAACTGAGCCAACCTCAGTGAGAACCTGACTCACACTGTTAACTCAGAGATTTCTGGGTATTGAAGTACAAACTATTTTAAAGATTATGTAAGATTTAGTATTCATTGCAATTTGATGATTTTGCAACAAGACACCACAACAAGCCAGCTAATATTCCTGACTAGCTAACAGCCTCTACAGTGCGTTAGGTAGCTCTGTAAATCTCAGAGTGGAAGCAGAGCAGCCAGAGGACATCCAGGGAAACCAGAACATCAACATTTTCTGCATAGAATATGATCCGGAAACCGAAAGCACTGTCAGAGTCGGTGGTGTAGGATTACTGCCAGCCTGCAGCTCAAAGTTGCAACAACCGGTGGACGTCGTGTGAATGTTGGCCTGTCCATCATGGACCTGACTTTAATTTTAACACTGGTGTTGCAAGTGTGCTCTCAAGTTGCCACTAAACCTTTAGAGCTGCTTAATTTGGTTGAAGCTCTTTTTCATCCTTACCCATTCAGTGCAAATGTATAAAACAAATAAACTTAAAGATGTAGCAGCAGTTCTTTAATAACATTATTATTAGTTTCTCTGAGGGTCTATTATGTTCTACGTCTCCCTCAGTGCCCCTGATGCTGATGGCGGGACTAACCACTTTGTTCACGTGCTGCTTCATAATCTTCTTCCACACGCGATACAAACGACTGGAGGCCGAGCAACAGGCGACTTACGGGACCAAACAAAGCAACGGCACGACGACCACTGAGCAAGCTCCGAGTGTGGAGGAGTGAGCTGAGGGAATTATGGGTACAAGCACACAAGCACAGTTTGCTTTGGTGACCTCAAATGTTAGTTTGTTTTAATCAAGACCATATATTCCTGTAACGCGTTGAAATAATGAATAATTTTACACAAAAACTAGTTTGTTGGTAGAAATCTGGTTATTTAGTAAATAGTTTTCTTGCCACTCGTACAAATAGTCCCAGTTGGCTGGGCAGTAGTCCTCTGAACATTCATATACTGATCATGTGTATTGAAATGATGGTTAGATTCTCTCTGCTCTTGAGACAGTTCATTTTTCCCTTCGCTTACCTTGGATTGCAGTAATGGGAGAGAAAATGAAGAGAGCCCAGACACAGAAGCTGTTTCATCATGTGACAACATTCCTTCAAGACACCAAATCCACTTGTGTTCCAGGGTTTTGTAGCAGTCCCCAGGGTTTCTCTCAACAGTCACCAAAGCAAAATCATCAACTGTTGTACGACTCCAAACACAGCAGGCCTCTGAGCTTGTTTATCTTCTGCCACCGTGCAGAACTGTGGATCCTTTCCTCTCAGGGACCAAGAACAAACGTAATGTTTACTGTCGATGCTTCAGACTCTGCTGGTGCTGTCTGAAATAACTCTGTGTATTCTGCCCTACAAAGGCAGTAGAGGTGAAGAAAGGCTGGCTGGGTAAACTATGGAACAGTCGGACAGGATGTAATGCCTTCATCTAACGCTTTTAGACCGATTACTCTGGAACAAACATTAACATAGACCACAGGGAAGAACCAAACACTGTCAAAAGCAAAGGTCTGCTAAGGTAGGCTAGTTACCTTTAAGCAGGTCTAAATGTTGATGTTCAGCAAAACTGACAGATATTAAATACAGGTAAGAGGGAAACAGGTAAATTTAGCTCTATCAGCTAGCTGTGTCGACCTACTTACTAACTAACTAACTTGACTCTCTTGCTTTGACTGGATTTAATATGTTCTCTTTGAAATGATCTGTGGCCTAAAACTAGGTGTTGAGTATTTTGATTCCATTTGTACTTTCTGCTTTTTGGATTTGTAGGGCAGTTTTGTCACACTTCATTGGATTCCCACTCTTTTTGAGAAATCATTTTTTTAGATTTCTTGACAATTCAGGGCAGCACTTGCTAACAGGGGCTCATATAATTTAGCAGTACGTCTGGTATTGACACATTTAACTCCAGTTTTATTCCTTCTTTTTCTATCAATGAATGAGAAACTGCATTCATTTTCAGATTTTTCTGCTGCGTTCTCTCCAGGGAATTGACTACATTTTTACGATTTCTCTCCCACCATAACATTACTTTGGCCACAGCCCATAAGTAACAATTCAAATTAGGTTGATTTTATTTTTCCTATGAGCCTATTCAAAGAAGAAGTAGAAAGTCCTTGTTGCACAGTTAATATTGCTGTGCAGGTTTTTTTTTTTCACTGGGATTTTGTGAGAAGAATTTTAACTTGATGCCAAAAAACCTGCTTTGAAGTGTCGTATCGCAGGTTACCCTACCAACAGTCGAGCTTTAAACTAAATATGTTGACGATCTGAGTTAAAAAAATAAAATGGATTTATTGATTTTTTTTTTACAGGACGTGGGAATTGTGCTCCTCCTCTTGTACTAAAACCACTGTAAAAGAGACTGTTTACTAACCTACTCTGAATAAACTACCTTATATGTAGTTCTCTGCAAGTCTCTGAAAAACTACATTGTAGATTTCAGACTGACTACCTAGAATTGAAACTAAACTGTTTCTTGTTTGTCAACAACTGTCAGTAATAACTGTTGTTGATATGGTAAAAAAAAATACCCCTAATAACAGCATATAATGATGTAATTCATTTGTACAATAAGGGGAACACTGACACATTGTACACCATGTTTAACAGCGTACTGGAGGGGTTTTGCATATTAAAGCCAGCAGATCAGTTCATTTGTTTTCACAATATTCTAATCAAATTTGACTTCTTCCACTAGTCAGGACCAATAATAGTTCTGTTTTTCAAGAGGTAAAAGGAGGTAGTTAAACATTTAGAAAGCTGCAGCACTTGAATGATAAACTGACGATGGAGGACGTGTCTGACCTCACCTGCAGTGCTTTTAGATCCGATCATCTGAGACACATCTGGAACAGGAGGTGTCCATTTTAAGTTCTTCCTCAGTTGAGTGTGATAATGATAGTTTTGTAACGTTTTAATTCCTTAATGTCATTAAAATGTTACCTCAAGTATTCATATTCCTTTTCCCTGAGTCTGATTCTTGTCGGGGGAAGTCTTTAAACAGCAGCTCTTTTTTTCTATTAAGGCAGATGGAAAAGCACAGGTGTAACTCTGTTCCAGCAGTACGTCCTGGCATTTAACCATCATAGTTAATGCTCAAACACCTAAACTGAATGGAGACATTGTGGCACCTTCGCTTTTCCAGCTGGAATTACTACAAATGATCTAAATCTACACATCTGCTGAGAAAAGGGCCCACAGCAAGAACCCTCTGTGAAACACTGCGCCTCTTTAAATACAGACAGAATTCACACATTCCTAAACATGAATTATTTAGTCAAATTAAATTACATACATGTAGATAAAACTGTATGCTCTGGTGTATTAGAACTTAGTACTTGCTACTTTGTACTTCAGGGGGAAACACTGTACTTTAAAGGCTCTGCACATCCACACAGGGTCAATCAAGCTAGAGCTTAGTCAGGAAATGTCAAATATATATTTACAAAAAAAAAATCTAATTTAGTCAGAGCCTGACCTACGGTAGGAGATTTAGTCCTGAATCTGGTGGGCCACGTTGGGTTCAATCGTGTTAGGGACAGAATAAAAGCTCTAAATGAAGCACAGCACTAATAGGGCAATATACGTGTGACCTGTGTGGGTGGGCTGTAGGTGTGCAGGGCTTTAATAGCTACTCGAATGATGCATTACCATTCATTAAAGTATAACAGGTGTAATAAGTACTTAGTATTTCCATCTCCACCAGCTACTGTATTAAAATGCTTACTGGCTAGACTTAAATGTACCACGAGGAGTTTTTAACTGGTTATGAAACAATCTCAATTTAATGCTGATGCCTCTGTATGACCTACATTAACAAACAAGACCATCAGTGAGAAGAGAAGCCATTGCTATATAGTTATTCTGAAGCCTGCCATTGGGTGGTGAAAAAATGACATGACACAAACAAGCAGGCGGATAAAGACTCTGCAGAGTTTTAATTCTTTTCCAATTCCACATAAAACAAATATAAAAAAGTAGAGCGCTCTCTAAATTCAGAATCAATCCGAGCCGACCTGAAATCTCCTCTCCTATGATCCCTTCACTCCTATGCTCCGCCTGGACTCAGACAGTTCGCACGGTTTTAAAAAGACCCATTCATAAGAATACGAGCAGGATGTAAAAATGAACAAAAAGGAAAACTCAAGCAAAAAAAAGACAAAAAAAGGGAACACTACAGCACAGACTATTGTTTGAATTCCTACTCTGAAAGACTCCCTCAGCTGTGGTTGCACAAAACTTCGAATGGCACCAGACACAAACAGAGGTAAATAAAAACAGAACTGTAATGAGGAGATTCTTGATGCAAGAGCTGGTAGTTTCTAATGTGTAGGTTTAGCACAGGTACTGTGTGAACACAAGTACACATTTCATTTGTTAATTCAGCGTGTCGGCGTGCGCGCGTCTCAAAGCTGGAGGGCGCAGAACTGCTGGTACACGGCCAGGATGTGGTGGTCGAGCTCCGCCGTGAACAGCAGGTTCTCCAGGGTTCCCATGTACTGCTGGATGGTCACGTGGTGCTGCGGAGAACCAGGAGAGACATTGGGTCATCGAGAGAACGCGCGCGTCAAACGTGTGCTACCGCAGTGTGTGTGCGTTTGAGCGTTTTACCATGAGGAAGATCTGCTGCAGCCGCTCGATGCAGTTCTTGTACCAGGGCGTGCTGATGTCCACGCTGCCCGTCTCACAGCGAACCAGGTGCTCCGTCAGCAACATGATGAAACGCTGCGGGAGGGAAAGCGGCATTTAAAGCGGTGCAGACAAATGTTAAAGCTGCACTAAAGGGGGCTCATATATGTACTGATGTCTCCGTCTTATTAGCATGAACAATAAAGTTAGAGGATCTGCTCAGAACCACCACAGCCTTCACTGGATGAGCTGGGCTCTGGCAACAGCTGAGGGACGTCCCTGCAAGATTTGCTCGACGGCTTAAACTCAAACAGCCGTAAACATCTAAAAATCCCGGCGTGCTTGTGTGACATTTAGGACTCCCCACCCTGACGGCCTTCAGTACCTGGAAGATGACGAGGAAGAGGTTCTTCTGTTCGCTCTGAGCGGACTCCACCTTCTCCTGTAGCCTCTCGATCTGCTCCTCCAACTGACCCTCCTCGTCCTCGCTGGCCTTGTCCATGTCCTCGTCGTCCCCGCTGTCCCTCTGATGGTTAACAAACGCACACATTAACCCCCGACCAGCTGAATCCGTCTACTGATCACGTCAGGTGCTTTCAACAAATCGTTTATAATGTGGTGGATAAACTTACCCTCTTATGCTGCTGTTTCTCCAGTTTGTCCTTGGCCTCCTCCAACTCCTGCTGGATCTTCTGGACGTGTTTGTCCATCTTTCGGATGGTCGAGTGCAGAATCTCCCAGATGAAAAGTCTAGATAGGGAAAGGAGATTTTTTTTTTATCCAACAGAGGCAGGCGGAGAGAAAACATCCATTTATGCCATCTTCCTCATCTGCCCATGTTAAATGTGTTGGTATTTCACAACCCCACCTGGTGAACTCATGAGCCATGTCCTGAGAGAAGAGCCAGTTAGCGACAGCGGCGCAGTCCACGACCTGTGTCCGGATCATTTTGTCCACCAACACTGCGATCATCTGTAACGCAGTGAAAACGTTAACCACATTTTACTGGATGCAGTAAGGACTCAAAAACTCTAAATAAAATATATTTTATATATAAACATCCACAACTCTCCATCACTGAAAGACAAATGTTTTTTCAGGCTTTAACTTCTTCACATTTTTGTCCCATTTACTGAAACTGTCACTATATCCTGACTATATGAGACAGATAATGTGTGAATAAATCCGGTTCCTCTGGCTCCTCCCAGTGCTCCTAATGGTATTTGCAAGAATCCACCGGGCCTACAAAGAACCAATCAGAGCCGAGAACGATAATTGATTGTTGAGTCTCATGCTCGGGTCCCAAAGCGTCAGTATTTGACGACCTGGGAAATCAACTGTGTTCCTCGGCTCTGATTGGCGGGGGATTTGTGCAGATGTCATTAGGAGCACTAGAACAACACTATTCTTATTAGAGTCTCCTCCTGCAGCTTTAAAGTGTGTTGGTTGTCCGTACCTGCGGGTGATTCTTCCACGCTTCATAAACCACCTTGAGGATGTGCAGCTTCCCCTCGTCGGTGTCTGTCAGGTTCTTCAGGATCTCGTGGAACCTGGAGGAATTGGATGCAGGTGAGTCCAGCAGGTCTGGAGTCATTCGATACAGAACTAGATTGTGTTTATACTGGCTTTTATTATTTTATATTCATTTAGCACTAAATACTGATTTTATTTAGCTGAAGTTAGTTTTTATCTCTGAATAAGATTTTTCATTGAGGGGAATTTATTTTCTTGACTGTGCTACAAAGGCGATTTGTATACTGATGGAAACTGAAACAACCTGCACATTTGCTATTGTGTGTATCTTGCGTTACAATTGTACATTCAAACATACATTTATAATTGATCATCTTTGAATTTTTTATCTTTTATAATTATTTTTTCACTTTAATACCATTTAGCCATGCAGGTGCCTCACTGGCCGGTGTATGATTGAACAGGTTGAGTGTAAATCAGGACAGGATGGAGAAATTATACTTTGTGAACAGAAAAATAACTTAGAATATTACAAAATAATAAGGTTTATATTTATATGTTCTTTCTTCTCTGAATACATTTGCAAATGAACATTTTCCTTTTTTTTATTTCAGACAGTATTGTGATTTCAATAACAAATATATGGACTATATTATATATAACAACAGCTCTACGTTTCTGGACTACAGACCAGGAAGCAGCAGTGTATTTAGGCCAATTGCATTTTGTTTTGTGGGAGAGACATCTGAAAAAAAGATTTCATGGTGGGGGAACTTACTTGCCGAGGGCACTGAAGGAGTGGCTGAAGGATTTGGCAGCCAGATGGAGCAGAGTCTGCAGGAACACGTCGATCTTCAGGGGGTTGAAGCTCTCGCCCTCGTCTGCAAGGAAAAGGAGTGACAGAGAACAAAGTGAGTGAAAATGCTTTAATAAACAGTCTGAAATGATGTTTGGGTAAATCTAAAACCTTGCTGATAACAGCAGAACAGCAGAATGTCATTCTCATTGAAAAGCAGAGAGCTGGAGTTTGAAGGTGAACTGACAGAGGTTGGAGCAGTGAGAGGTAATGACTACAACACAATTTTATATCAAACGTGATAATCGAAGCCAAACGAATGACTGTCAACTCTTATTCCTCTCTAATTGTTGACCTACTTTCACACATAATGCTAAATTTGATTTTTGTATTTTGTCGGGAACAAAGCGGTGATTGGTTCCTCCAAGAAAGAAAAAAACTGAAAAACATCTAACCATCATCGTCCTCTTGGTTGGGGTTGGGCACTTCTTTGAGGACGGTCAGGATCTCCTCGTTGGAGGCGCGGTTCTTGATGGCGTTTCCGACAGTGATGGATACTGGGTAACCCGGTAATGAAGCTGTGAGGGCGGGAGAGACACTGTTAGGAACTCTTGTCTAAACGTATGTGCCGGGTACAGAAAGATCTGTGGAACCATTGGAGGTTGACTCATATAAACATGCATTACAGCTTTGCTTACAAGAGCTCTCATCTGCATATTTGTAGACAAAGATGGGTTCGGCTGGGATGAGTGCTGAGAAGGTTGGAGGGACAATGTCCACTATCCGCTGGTGGTACGAAAGTCTGCAGGGAAAAGAGCAAACGGACGCCTTTCCAGATTAAAGGATCACAGAAAAACCTATTTTCAGGGAGACACGATGGAAAAACACAAAGTAATATTCAACTTCCTCAAGAGGAAATGCATTAAATACCTCATGCACTTCTCCAGAACCTCTTTGACAAACTTGGGCTTGGGTTTATCTAGATCCACGGCCAGGCAGTCAGACCTTTATAGAGGACACACAAGCAAACGGTCTGAACTGTGCAGTTTCTTTCTGGCA